CAACATTTCCTCTAGAATTCTAATAGTTTCATACCTTAGGTTTAAGTCTGTTATCCAGGTGAGTTGGTTTTTGTGAGAGGTGAAAGGTGTCGGTCCTGTTTTAGCTTCTACAGGTGGCTATCCAGTTTTCCCAGCACCATTTATTGAAAAGGGATTCTTTTCCCCAGCGTATGTTTTTGTCTGCTTTGTCAAAGATTAGATGGCTATATGAGGATGGTTTTATATCAGGATTCTCACATCTGTTCCACTGGTCAATATTCCTATTTGTGTGCCAATACCATATTGATTTAATTACTACAGCTTTGTAGTATAGTGTGATATCTGGCATATTAATGCCTCCCATTTTGTTTTTGTTGCCTAGAATTGCTTTTGATATTTGGGGTCTTCTTTCGTTCCATACGAAGCGTAAAATTATTTTTTCTATATCTGTGAAGAATGCTGATGGGATTTTAATAGGTATTGCATTGAATCTGTAGATCAGTTTGGGTAGTATAGACATTTGGATGATATTGAGTCTGCCAATCCACGAGCATGGGATGGATTTCCATCTGTTTACATCCTCTGCTATTTCCTTCCTCAGTGTTTCATAGTTCTCCCTGTAGAGGTCTTTACTCCTTGGTTAAGTATACTCCTAAGTACTTTAATTCCTTTGTTGCTATTGTGAAGGGAATTGAGTCTTTGATTTGGTTCTCAATGAGATTGTTGTTGGCATATATGAATGCCTCTGATTTCTGTGTATTGATTTTGTATCCTGAGACTTTACTAAATTCATTGATCAGTTCCAGGAGTTTCTTGGTTGAATATTTGGGGTTTTCTAGATATAATACCATATCATCAGCAAACAGTGAAAGTTTGATCTCTTCTGCCCCTATTTGGGTACCTTTAATTCCATTTTCCTGTCTGATTGCTGTAGCCAAGACTTCCAGTACTATGTTGAACAGAAGTGGAGATAGTGCGCAGCCTTGTCTGGTTCCAGTTCTAAGTGAGAATGATTTCAATTTATCAACATTCAGTATGATGATGGCTATGGTCTGTCATATATGGCTTATATCATTTTTAGGTATGTCCCTTCTATGCCTATTTTCTTAAGTGTTCGTATCATGAAAGGGTGTTGAATTTTGTCAAAAGCTTTTCTGCATCTATTGAAAGAATCATGTGGTTTGTTTTTGCTTCTTTTTATGTGGTGAATTATTTATAGATTTACTATTAACCATCCCTGCATCCCTGGGATGAAGCCCACTGGATCCTGTGGATTATTTTTTTGATAGGTCTGATTCGTTAGCTAAGATTTTGTTGAAAATTTTGCATCTATATTCATTAGGGATATTGGTCTGTAGTTTTCTTTTTTGTTGAATCCTTTCCTGGTTTTGGTATCAGAGTAATATTCACTTCATAAAACGTGTCGGGGAGGTTTCTGTTCTTCTCCATGTTGTAGAAAAGTTTCTGCAAGATAGGTACTAGTTCTTCTTTGAAGTGTGGTAAAATTCGGGTGTGAAGCCATCTGGGCGGGACTTTTCTTTTTAGGGAGATTTTTAATTGCTATTTCTATTTCAACTGTTGAAATTGGTCCGTTCAGGAATCTATTTCTTCCTGTTGAGCCTAGGGAGGCTGTTGTGTTTCTAGAAATTTGTCCATTTCCTCCACATTTTCCAGTTTGTGTACATAAGATTTTTGTAGTATTCATAAATATATCTTGTATCTTTTGGATCAGTTGTGATATCTCCTTTTTTGTTCCTGATGGAATTTATTAGAGATTTCTCTTTCTGCTTTTTGTTATCTTAGCCAATGGTGTGTAAATTTTGTTTATTTTTTCAAAGAACCAAGTTATTGTTTTATGAATCTCCTGAATAGCTTCCCTGTTTTCAATTTCATTATTTCTGATTGATCTTGTTGATTTCACTTCTTCTGCTGGGTTTGGGGTTGGTCTGATCTTCTATTTCCAGCTCTTTGAGTCGTTTCATTAGATTGTCTATTTGTGATCTTTTTGTCTTTTGGTTATAGGCACTTATGGAGATAAACTTTCCTCTCAGAACTGCTTTAGCTGTGTCCCAGAGGAGTTGATAACTTGTCTCTCCATTGTCGTTTTCTTCATAGAATATTTTTATTTCCATCTTGATTTCTTCATTTATGAAGTAATCATTTGGTAGGAGATTGTTTAATTTCCAGGTTTTGTGTAAAATGTGAGTTTCTATTAGGTTGATTTCTAGTTTTATTTCCACTGTGATCTGAGAAGGTACATGGTATGATTTCTATTTTTTTAATTTCTTGAGATTTTCTTTGTGTCCTAGGATATGGTCAATCTTAGAGAATGTCCCGTGAGCTGATGAGAAGAACGTATATTCAGTGGATTTTTGGGTAAAATGTCCTGTAGATGTCAGTCAGACCCAATTGTTCCAGGGTTTTGTTGAAATTCATTATTTCTTTATTAATTTTCTGTTTGGAGGATCTGTCTCGTGCCATCAGTGGGGTGTTGAAATCACTGGTGATTATGGAGTTGCTGTTAATCCATTTGCTTAGATCCAGTAAGGTTTGCTTTATGAAACTGGGTGGCCCTAAGTTGGGTACATATATATTTAAAATTGTTATATCTTCTTGTTGAACTGTGCCCTTCACCATTATATAATGACCCTCTTTGTCTTTCACTACTTTTTGTTGTTTAAAAACTAAATCGTCTGAAATTAGAACTGCCACACCAGCCTTCTTTGCTTCCACTTGCCTGGAATACTGACTCCACCCTTTTACTTTTAGTCTTATGCATCTTTGCAGGCTATATGTGTTTCTGAAGCAGCATATACTTGGCCTGTATTTTCTTATCCATTCAGGCAGCCTATGTCTCTTGAGTGGAGAGTTTAAGCCATTCACATTTATTGAGAGATAACTGATAGGTAAGGTAGATTACTGTTCATTCTGTTGGGTTGCATGTTGTTGCTTTGATTTCTCTCTTGAGCCATTGTATTATCCTGCCCTTTAATCTTTGGGTTTTGGCTGTTTTTATATTTGTGAGTTTTATTATGGTGTTCCTGTGCGTAACACTGTTTTGAGTACTTCTGTAGGGCTAGTCTTGTCTTGGTGAATTCTCTGAGACTTTGCTTGTCTGAGAATTTCTTAATTTCTCCTTCAAATATGAAGCTTAGTTTTGCAGGGAATAATATTCTAGGCTGGGCATTGTTTTGTTTCAGAAGGGTGAGAATGGGGCCCCAGTCTCTCCTTGCTTGTTAAGTCTCATTAGAGAAGTCTGGTGTTATTCGAATTGGCTTTCCCTTGTATGTCACTTGCTTCTTTCGTCTTACAGCTCTTAGAAGGGCCTCTTTATTTGATACTTTGGTCAGTCTGATGACTGCATGTCGTGACATCTTCCTGTTTGCATTGAATCTCCCAGGGGTCCTCTGAGCTTCTTGAACTTGTATATCAAGATTTTGAGCAAGCCTGGGAAATTTCCTCTATATATATCTCAAATAGCTTGTCCAAACCTTGAGTGTTGTCTTCTTCCCCTTCTTGGTAACACTATGACCCTCACATTAGGTTTCTTCACATAATCCCATATCTCTGTAGGCTTTGCTTCATGCAGTATAGAGCATTATTCTAAAACAAGTTGGAGTTATGGTAATGTGGATTTGTTTTCTAGTTCCTTCTTTTACTAGCTCTATGAGTTTAGCCAGCAGTTTGTAAATCTTAATTTCCTTACCTGCAAAATGAGCATGATAATGATACCTTATTTAAACATACAAAATACAGAAGTATACAGAGAAAAAATATACCATAAATGTTAACAATTATTAGTCAAAGCTGAAGTATTAAGAAACCATGTTTTTTTTTATATTAAGAACCTAAACTTATAAACTAGGTAATACTACAATAACAAAAAAAGAAGAAGAACAAGAAGAAGGAGGAGTAGGAGAAGGAAGAAAAGTAGGAGGCCTTATTCCCCACGCTGTTTATATGGGCTGTTCTTCTGTTCCACATCATCATTATTTGGGACTCAGGCTATCAGAGCAAGCTATGTCTGGAATGTTGCTTCTTTTGTGGCAGAAAGGGCGAAAAAGACATAACAAAATATTGTTGGCTCCTAAAGTTTCTGCCTGAATAGTGCACATATCCCTTCTAGCCATCTTTCTTTACCCAAATCTAGTCACATGACCACTTCTAAGTTGAACAAGATTCAGATATAAAATCCATTAATATGCCAAGGAAGAAAAATAAAATACTTTTAAACAGTAATAGAGTGTACCATAGTCCATACAAGATGATTGCATATGGTAAGTCTTAACTTAAGAGTATGTTAAAAAGGTTTTGGGGGTCAATAAAAACCCCAAAAACTTGGCATCAAAAAAGATTCAAATTCTAAGTATCATATGCTTGGTGATATAACATTCAAACTAGATCAGTAACCTAAATTACTTCCTAAGGAGAATTTCATTTATTTGGGATTTTTTTTTAAAGAAAATATAGTACATTGAAAAAGTCATAAAAACCTAGGCCTAGATTCTGAATTAGGCCACTCACCAGCTATGCACATTTGTAGAAGACAGAAATATATTTTTGTCATTGAAATTAAGATTTATAAAAATATTTATTTTGATAAGTAATTTACTCGTGTACCCAGTCAATTTTCATAGAGAAAGAGTCAAACTTATGAAATAATAAATTTGTCTGACATCTCTATATGAACTCAGAGATGTCTTTAATACAGAAGAAAGTCTGCACAGTATACAATACATATATTTTCAACTTCCTAATATTTACATTTTCACAGAAATAATATTCAAAAACAGGGATTGGATCATAATCCTGAAAGACACAATACTGAATGTCATAATGTTGAAATTCTGAAAGCTGAATTCTGGCGAAAAGGTTACTGTGTTTTTAGCTGCACAGACAATGGTTGCTTCATGTTACTTGCATCATAGTAGGCAGAACTATTACCTTGTTATTGTCTTTATTTTGTAATTGATCAAGAATGGGTCAAGGAGATGCATACATATGCCAAGTTGACAACTGGTGGATTTGTAGACTGAATTTTAGATGACAATTTAATTGGATTAAGGAATACCTACACACCTGGTAAAGCATTATTTTGGGTGAGTCTGTGAGCATGTTTTCAGAGGATGTTAGTGTGTGGGTCTGAGTGAACTAGGTGGGGAAGATTTGCCCTCAATATTCATGGGCACCATTCAATTGGCTGGGGCCTGGAAAGAACAAATATGGAAGGTGAATTAGTCTTTCTTTGATAGCTGGGACAGACTTTTCTTCTGTTGCCTTGGACATCATAAATTTGACTTCACAAAAGTGCACTATCATAAAGTTGACTTTCTGTGTAAACATTATGCTTGGACACAAAAACATTTAAACGTCTTCAATAAATGAAAAGATGTCATTTTTGTACATGAATTTGTAAAAGATGAAATTTCTCATGAACTTTTTGGGTGACTGCATATTCTGTGGTAACCCATCACAGTTTTTGATCCATCTCATCAAAAGACTTAGGTTGTCTATTGGGGAATTTTGGAAGACTGCAGTTAAGAAGCTGAGAGCATTTAACTACCAACCATAGTGATAGGTGTTTATACATTCCACTTTTTGACTATTCCTTTATGGATATGGTTCCTTTGCTCATAATTGTTATAAGCCATGCAACTGTCATTATATCTATGTTCATGCTTGCAGATATGTTATTATTGCCTATTTTATTGTGTAATGTGGACTATGAAGTATCCTGTCACCTTTTTATATTCTCAAATAAATCCTCTTTTAAAAATATAAATAAATGTCCTTTAAATAATTTTTAAAGATTATATTTTCCAGAATTATTTTTTTAGGATTTTGTTGCTTTGAGATTTCAACATTTGGGATTATACTGTTTGGGATTGTACCCTTCTTTCGGGATTATGATCAATTTCCTCAAGAATATATGGTCTATGGACAGTCCATGAACCTGAGAAAGCCTAGGCAATCCTCAGTTTTGTTTGTTTACAATGAGAAATGCTACCTTTATTCCTAAAAATCCCCACTAAAAGCCATTTATATCTCCATCTCTTAAATCTCCACAAATTCAGTTAAAAAGAGATAGAAAACAAAAACAAACATGACCCCTACCTCTTTATTTACATAATGATTTACCTCCTTCTCTGCAGGAATTTTCTCCTTCTACTCTCTGATTTCTCCCATTGATTCTCATTTCTTACTTCTGTATAATCTGCCTGCACTCACACAATAATCAAGTAACTTGAGATATGTGGGAAAATTATGCAACTGGTCATTTGGGTTTCCTCAAAAGCCTCTGACCACCTTTTAAAAGTCTCAGTGAAAGTAGGATATGAATTGAATTATCAGTGTAGTCAAGTGGCTATTGTTCTGAATATTTGTAGATTTATTGGTATCCTTGGTATAAGCGGTTTCAGTGGTTAGCCCACTTTTAACAACATGCTCTGGCTATGATACACTGGAAACACTTACTCTGTTTTAAAACTTTCTCCTAACTTGGGTTTCAAGACATCACTTTGTTTTTTTTTTTTTACTTGCCTTCTAATTCTGTCAATATTCTTCAATTTTGTTGTTGTTGTTTTTGAGAGGGCAGTGGCTACTCTTATTCTAGATATTCCTTAACTGCTGGCATAAAGCAAGATATTCTTTTTGTCTTCTTTCTTTTTATTCAACACAAATTCCTCTGAGTGAGCTCATCATTACTCCCACTCTGAATTTCTCTTTATCTTGTTTCCTCCTGAAATGAATGTTATTACTGACCACTTTCATACCTAATTTAGAAATAAAAATTTCACTCAATTCTTCCTTCTGTCTCATCATAATCCAACAGTCACTAAGCTCCCTTTCTCCTACCTCTAAATATGTCTCAAAGGAATCCTTTCTCTTTTCTCCATCCTTACTGCTCTTCTCTCAGCTTATATTATTTCTTATGATTTCTTACCTAATACATAATATATTTTATCAAGCAATTTATGAGGAAAAGATATCAAACAGCCTCAGGAGTATGATTATGAATGTGAAAACCTGGCTATTCTCTCTACTGCCAGATTTAATGAGATCTGTCACATTTCTTCTGGGCTACTATACATTTAAGCATGTACCATCCAGGCAGACTGCTTAAGCCCTCACTAAATACCAAACTTGAAAAAATATGAATAAATAAATAATAGCTATCACCAACTTATTAATTATGTTCTTCTTTATAACCCCACAAAGGTGCAGGTAAATGGGGCCACATTTGAAGGAGGAAAAGGAAACTAGCATGTCTTGACACCTACTGAATGTATCTATTCTAGATACATAACACATTATTTCACTATACTACACAAATTTTCAGGCCAAGGATTGTGTCCTATTCAGTTGTAAAGCCTCAACACTATTTTTATGATATAGTAGGTATTCAGTAAAATTTGCTTATTAATTAGTGAAGTTTTATTAAAACTTTCTGGGATAGTTCTACTATAACAATTTAAGAGATGAGAAAAATCAATATTTGGAGAATTAATCTGGACTAAGTTTCTTTTATTTATTTAATTTTGTAAAGTTCCCATATCCTCTGAGGATATACGACTTGTCTGAATAAGACAAGTCCAAGAAGTTATTCTCACAAATTTTAAAATCCAGTGAAGAAGACTGACAAAATAAAAAAAGGGATGAGTGAATAAATGAAGCATCCTATTTTAGTCACTATTCTTATTCTTAAGGTGACCCTCAAATTCACAAAATAGTCAATAGTCATCCATTCAACTAAAGTTTATTTGCACCTGTAGAGATAACAAAGCTAGTTTTCAAATAGTGTTAATCTCTATGAATAAAATAAAATAGGATGCTGGAGTGGTTGAGGAGAAGTAGCATAATATTAGGTGTTATAGTCAGGAAAGGGTACTCTGAGATGATAACATTTGTAGGAATAGTGATTGAGGAAACTCTGTGAAAATCTGGGGGAAAGGGATAACAGGGAGAGAAATGAATAAATGCAAATGCCCAAGGAATCTAAAAAAATGCCAGAGTGGTAGGCCTTGGTGGAAACAAAAGAGAGTGTAGAATTTGATTCCAAAGGTCACATTGACTTTGGTCAATTCAGTAGCCATATACAAATGTATATTTATATATTTATGGTTATTTTGCATATTGAAGTTGTAAATGTCAAAATAATATCTTAGTGAAGGAAAATCAGAGAGCAGACAAAAGGTAACATGTCCAATTTTAAACTTAAGAAAAACCCAGGAAGTTGAAATACTTTATATGTGTGTGCATGTACATGTATATTTTAACCACAGAAATATGTAAATGATTAATATTTTTGTTTATAAGTAAATCTTAAAAGTAATTTTCAAAGCCTATATTTTCTTGCAAGAGTCATCTGAATTTAGAAATGCTATGTTATTTTAACATCCCCTAGTGGTTCTTTGATAAAATTGGGAGCTTGCTAGACAAATTTAAAATGTAAGTCTAAAGAAATATATATTCTTTTCAGAAAAAAAGAGTATATTCCATTTACTCTAAGCAGAAGAAAAATAAAAAGGTAAAATTAAATAAAACATAAAGAAAGTAACTGTTTACCCTTATGACATAAGATACTAACTTCTTAAAAGAGACAAAGCAACTTTCTTTCAAACTATACGATATCTGAGATTCACTACAGAAGTGAGAAAATAAAGATTACTCTCCAAATATCATCAGTTATTGGTGTCCCTCTGACACTAACCCAGAAGCAGCAAGGTAATAGACTAGTTTTTCCCCATATGCAACCCCTCTACTCCTATCAGAAGTGTGTAAGGCTAGAAAAACAAAGAAAGTTAAAATCCCACAATAACAGGGCTTTGGAGGCTTTTCATCCAGAGACAGTCTATTTTCCCCATAACAATTGTTAAAATTAGTAATAGAAGAATTAATTGTCTTCTCTTACAGATTACATTTGAAGGACCTGTCGCACAAAGTCATTAGACCACAGAGAAAGTCTGAGACTTCCAGGTATCCTGTCTGCTAACTTTCTGCTACTTCCATTCAGCCAGGGTGGGTCCTCCTAATGTGTTTTGCCTCCCCATCTGAGAAGTTATTATGTCTTTCAGAACCCATCATTTAATTGACCTGATATTTTTGAATGATTGCTATGTGTACCTTCCTCTCTTGTGGTTCTTGAAGATGCAGGCTAAGAGCTATTTAAATGACAGTGAAAGGGGAGTTCTGTAATATCCAATCTTGCTACAAAAGAATAGAATTGAGAAAAGAAGTCTTGATTCTAGTTCTACATACAGTGTATATATTTATTTCCAAGGATTTTTACTCTTCTTCACATTCATGGGATCCGTAGCCACTTACTTACATTGCCAACTATCAATTCACATCCTATTTTCATTAACATTAAATAGACGGCTTTTAAAAAGGTTACAGACTTTTAAGGAAACTCAAACTACCAATTGTATAATCTGTCTACACAATTTTAAATGGCTACATTATAGAAGATGCTAAAAATGTTGATGGAGTGATTTTACAATATATCTCCTGCCCTGTTAGGGAGATTGAGATATAAATTGTTATATATTCAGAGCTTCAGTAAGATAGATAAGTATTTAGCTAGGGGAAAAGAAAAGCTAATTTCCTTCACCTTTAGTGGTAGAAAGGGTACGCATTTTGTTCAGCTGATTTGGTTTTATGCACTCATGCTCAGTTTGAAAAGTATAAATGTACAACAATAAAGTAATGATAACAGCTATGTTCCATTTTCTGTTTCTATCTTAATAGCTCCAGGTAGGTAATTTTACTGTGTATATAAATCATTAGTCTTCAGCAGCCATCCCATTCTCTAGTTATTCTTAGACTCCAAAGCAGTTTTATTTTGCTAAGAGCCATTCCTGATTGTCTCTGGAGTGATGGCAGAGGTGAGGGAGGATTCAAATTAGCTTCAAGGTACATTTACTTCTATTACTCAGGCATAATACCTCTATGACAGATAGACCATTCCCTAGTCAAATACTAATTTACAATTGTCCTGCATCTGTATAGCCAGAATGCACTGCTAAGTCTTTTCTGATTAAGTTCGATTTCAATGATAGAAATCAAGCATTTTTGATGACTCTAAGCCTCTTAATGGAAAACAAAAACAACAATAATTTTTTTCCATGATTTAAATAGTTACCAAGGAAAGGTTTTAGGGAGGAGTCCAGAAGGAAAGTCTATGTAATAAATAGATTTTTCCCAAATGGAGCCAAGTGAACTTTAAGGTTTTAATTGATTACTAAGCCACTTCTTTCACAAATGTTATGAAAATAAATTAATTGTAATCAACAGAACTCAGGCAAGCCACTGAAAAACTCTGAGCCTTAATTCATGTTAGGAATCTCTGTTTCACTGAGGTTTAATGGTAGCGCTTCCATAACTTTTGTGTTCCTACTACTGTATATTGCATGTATTAATATTTAGAATACAATTAAGTCCACAGTAAATATTTTGTAGGAATAATGGAATAAATACAAGAATAATTTATTATTCTTTTCAAGCCTGCCTTGATCTTTGTTCATTTTTTTTTCTTTTGCTATAATCAGTGCATAATTATAATGGGAAGGTAAGTTGGGAAAATGGAGATTCTATAGTCCTCTACTTCTCTTCCAACTCTTCAAAAGAAAATAACATAGTGCAAGCAAGAAGAAATGCATAATGCAACTTCTATGACTGGCACTTAATAGGAATTTGATAAATATTTATTGAATGGATGCTAGGCACCTAATGGGCAAAAACTGTGAATAAAAATGACTACAAGAATAGAAAGATAAAGCATAGGCATAAGCATGCATAAGGTACCTTAGAATTCCCTCATTCAAACTAGTCCTCAACTCACACCAGTTACAAAAAGGAAAGAAGTCTTTTAGACAGCTCTCAATCTTTGACAGCCTCAGACTGTGTATTAGCAGCCCCAGCTCCACCAGTAGAGAGAGGCTCTTGTAGAGCAGTCTGTAATGTGCCTACTTTTGCACCATTTTTGTCTGACTTACAGGTCTACCAGTTATTCTTTTAGAACTCACATTTTTATATAACGAACAGAATAGTAATAGAATATAAAATTATACCCTTTTAATTATTGATAACTTCCTACATGCCAAGTGTTTCTGCATGTAATTTTTTACTTGATACCCAATGTACTCTATGAAAAAAATATTATCTAGATTGTATAAATGAAAAATTCAAGTTTGTGAGATAAAGTCATCTGCTTAAAAATATCCCAGCTAATTAATGTGAGATCAAAGATGCGGATCTAGTTTCACTGTTGTTAAAGGCCATAATCTTAAACGAAATACAACGTTACCTTCCAATTTGAATTCTTAAGCATGTACACTCAACTTAATGAATAAATGACCAGCGAAGAGGACAAAATTTAGTCTACAAAATAAAATCACCAAGTTTGCCAAGGGTTTTTTCCTTAATAAGAAAGATAATTTTTTTGTGTGTAAAGTGCATTGTGTATCAAGCACTTCCAGCTGTTATTTAAAGATAAAACAAATGTGCTCTAGTTGCCTGTTTTGCAATTTCCAGGGGATGAGGTAAAAATGAAAGGGTTCAGAGAGGTGCTTCATTTGCTCGTGTCATTTTATTGTATTTCTTGTGTCCCCATGGAACCAGGTCTTTAGGTAGGAGCTCCACTCTGAATTTGGTCTGTCACCTCTCTGAGGATAGAAAAGGCTGGCACTCATGGCCCATGACAAAAACCTGCCCTTCTCATATTTCCATTGTGCTTTTTTGTTCTGAGTGTCCCCATTCCTCGCTGAGGCTTGACTTGAAGATTAGCAAAGAAGGTTCAGAGAAACAGTAGTCAAAGGAAAAAGCTGCCCCCCAGTCAGGCCAGTCAGCCAAATAAATTCTTTGCCAGTCAGCTCAGGCCGATGCCATCACATCCAAGAGGAATGCGGAGTAGAATCATCAGCTCTTCAAGGAAGGACGGACTTTATGAATCATCTTGTTAACTTTTCATTTACAGAGGAAGAAACTGAGGACCTAAAAGCTTTTATTAATGGTCTCTGAGACACATTGTAGATTTATATCCTAATCCTGGGTTTTCTGACTCTCTGCCAAATGCCTAAAGCAAAGAACCCAACAAAATCTAGCTTTGCTGGAGGATCTCTTTCTTTTTAATAAACACACACACACGTTTAAACGTATTCGCTGTTGTATCCCTAGCTTAGTTTCAGTCACCAAAATCTAGCTGAAAGTTAGACTCCAAAAGAGGAACCTCAATCCCTGAGCTGTGGGGATTTTATTCTGTATGTTTGGGGGACATGCCTTTGGATTAATCGGGGTCTGAAGTCTAAGTTGCGTGATTTTATCTCTACCTGTTGTTAGAACATTGGCCCCAAAACCTCTGCCATCACCTCAGCACTCAGGTTGAGGGCATTCCATTCCTGTGTCTATTGTCATCTAGAGCTGGGGTCAAACACTTTTATCTGCAGCTCTAGGACCCAGGGAACCAGGAACTTCCAGCCTCTATCTGCCACCTTAGCATTCTACCTAGCTTGAGTGCCAAAAGCACTGGATCACTTTCCTTAGAGCAGGTTTCAGCACTCAGATTTATTGCAGGAGGTCAACTCTTTCTCTGCCTAGAAAGCTAGCATGCAGAAATGTCTTTGTCAAGTAAACCTTTACTTCTCATCAACATGTACTTATGATCATTAAGTATATGACAAAGGGCAAGCAAGCAGTGTCAGGAAAAATGATAGGGTATTTGGTTCTGAAAATAAGTAGCCTCATACATATTTTTTAGACAGCCACATTCATGTTTGGCATTTCAATTAGATCCCAAGTGCCAAGAGTGCCAGAATTATGTCTTTTTGTACTTTGGGATCTTCCAAGGAATAAAGTGTACATCAAATATCTCTCTAATTTGGGATTCATAAAAATCCTAGTTTCTTTCTATGTGGTGCTACCACTAAAAGTATTTAATGCAGTTCCTAGCTGTAATGTGGAACTTTGCCTAAAGAAACAGTGGTTTCTGAGACACATTGGAGAAGTGGTTCTCAATTCTGGCCACATATTAGAATTATCTGGGAGGTTTTAAAAATCCAGATGTCCATGACACATCCCAGAGCCATTAAATCAGTATTTGTTGACTTGGGATCCAGGCATCAATATTTGTTAAACTTCCCAAGTGATTTCACTGTGAAGTCAATGCTGAAAATTTCTCTTTAGCATGTATTGTGACCAGTAAATGGATAACCTGAATGAATGAATATATTTCTTTCATTTCACACACATATATTTGTGTATATGTTTCTTGCTGATAAAATAGAGAATGTAAACTTTTTCCAATACCAATTACAAATGTGTCTATCACAGAGAAATGAGTAGCGATTATTTTTTTGTAAAGTAGTCAGCTTATTAAGTTTATACATTTCAATGCTAATTTAGATTATTTGCATTGTCCTAACAGGAATTCAGTACCCAAATAATTTGGGATCTCTTCTATTTAAAGATTGCAACAAGGGAATTACCTCAAAATTTCATACAAGTCATTTCTTGAATATTTTCTGCTGTTACACAATACCCAGGAAGCTGATTTAGATAAATATAGATGCTAACCAATGGATTTTCTTGCTGCTGTTTAAAAAGATACATATCAGCAACTGCAAAGGCAGTATCATCAAATCATGAGAATCAATCAATTATTTTAGGCCACCATGATGCAGACTTAAAATTTGAAGGCATGCTAATAGCAATATATTCCCTTTGGAAATAATTCAGATTTTCTCTTCTATAATTATTCTTTGGGTTGTACCACAAGGACTTGATTAGTCAGCAATTGTTGAAGCAAACACTTGTGAAAGCTATACTTTTGCTGGACTTTTTATATGTGATGTTTAGATTTTAAATAAATAAACAAAGAAAAGGCATTGCTATGGTACACGAGGAACTTATAATCTATGAGAGGAGCTCAAAGCTATTTTCATAAATATATTTCTTTTGTTACTGTAATGCTACAACTTCAAAATGAGGAAGGCACTCAGATGAATCTGTATAACTTCTAGTATTCCTTCCTCTGCTGCCCTAGAGATAACCAGTTACTAGTGAAGATAAAAAGTATTTCACAATCTTTCTCTCCTGGTGAGATAGCTTTGCACATGAACTATATCCATGTATATGAATAAGCCCCTAAAGAAAGTTGCTAATTGCATAGCATATCATTAAGAGGGAACGAGTTATAAAACCTTATCATGGGTTAAGAGTAGGAAAAGGCAGGAAGTTTATTAGTTATAATGATTATAATTTTTCTAAAAAGACAATCTAACATGAAGGAATGGCTTAAAAGTGATTGAGTTAAAAGGAACTTGGTTTTTGACTTTATTCAAAAAGGAATGCCCTTAATTAAATAATTAGCACCTTCTCAGCCCACATTTCTACAAAAAGTAGGAAAGATTCTCACAATGGATAAACTCTCTGAAGTGTCAAAATGTGTAATGCCAGTGTCAAAAGCAGAGTCTAAAAATTGAATAAACAATCTGATTTAGGGCAAGGAGGGCTCATTAAATTAAATTGTAATTTTTAATTATGATATTAATTTATATTTTCTTTGGATGTCTTTAATTCTAGATATATTTAATAATCCTTAAAATACATATATGAAAAATTGAGAGGGATATTGTTATGACTTTGTTGTCCAGATAAGGAAAACCTTAAAGTGGAACAGATAATTTACTGTGGGTCACATACTCAGCAAGGTCTGAGCCTAACAAGAGGCTTCTGATCATCCCTCGCCTAAAAAAGCTACCTGAGAAGTCTTGTAAATGACAGGAGTCACATTCTAGCAATGTTAGAATGGCATTTTTTTTTTCTTTTAAGTAAGCTTCTTCTAATGGTCTATTTTCCAAAGTGAGTTAAAATTCTTAAGGGATACCATGCCTCTTGTGATAACCATCACCACTTTCTATTTGTTAATACTGACAGATTACGATCTATAGATTTTATGGCAATAGAGAACATTATGCTATGACTACAATGAAAGGTGGGCATTTTCTGTCTGAGATTTAAAACTCGCTAAAGGATGCTTCTGTTATAACATAATAAAGACTGCCCACTTTAGAGGCTCAGAGGTGAGCATTAAAAAAAAAGATAAAAATATTTATCCTAATGGGATTTTCTTTTCCCTTTTCCAGGCTAATGATGTCCCTACTAAGCTTCCTTCAAGTACATTACTCTTTACTTCACACATGAAGGAGATGACCTCCAAATGAATTTAATGGTGATATAAGAAAATCCATGTCAATAGAGGCAAAAATTGACAACTATTTTTATAATTTAAGGAGAAAGCAGAGGGCATTGCAATCACTTTTAACCTTTTCTGTGCACCAGATAAAAATCAGGAAGAGGACTGAGGGAAATAAAAAGCTCCATGCCACATGGCATAAGTGCCTGTAACTCGCAGGTTGTGATGTGCTCTGGACCAGCTGGAAATAAGCAAGGAGCAGAGCACAAAAAGGAAATCAGAAAATATCACTGTGTGTGTTATTCTGAAGGGATTCTTCCATGGCTGACATTTTGTGTCTCCTCAGAAATCTTAGGTATGGCTAAGTTAGAATAATAGTCCCTTTAATCAGGCTGAGAGGAAGGCTAAGAATGCCAGAAATAGGAAGAGAACATGGGGTCTGTCAGAGCAGTTTCCCAAATGTTAAGATGCCTACAAATGCCCTGAGAGCTTGTGAAAATGCAGTTTCGGGTTCTGAAGGTCTGGACCGGAACATGAGATTCTGTGCTTCTGACAAGCTCCTGGTGATGCCAATGCGGCTGGTGTTTGAACATTTTGATTAGCCCAGTCTTAGAACATAAGATGACGTGAAATACAAGGCAGGTGGCCAAAATGTGTGCCCAGAAAAAAGCATCGCAATGTCTGCTTGAGAACAAAAGGGCTGGTATAGGATCAGCACCGCCAAAAAGGACAGTTATGTCCATGTTAATATCAGTTTCTTTTCTAAATTTTAGCTAAGTAACATTATTTTTAAAATATTAACTCTTCCTATAAATTGATTTCTACAAGTTGAAACATCAAGGACACCTGTTGGGCACAAATGCATTTCCTCTCATTCTTGCTCAGTTCAATCAGTTATCAATATGGAAATTCCCGATTTTCTCCTTATTCTGGAGACCAATCACTTATACTGGTTTTCCCAAAATAGTGCTTTCTTGAGCCTCAACTCTGCTGTTCTTCCAGTATGTGCACACAGCAAATACAGATGTTTATAATAGAAGCCCAATAAATATATAATTAGAAAGGAAAGTTGGCTGAGACATAACTATATTTGAAACAAAGAATTATAGACATATATATACATACAGACATGCACACTTAATATTTTACCCAAGCTCCACTATTAAGTCCACAGCAGAAACTTCAGATGAGTCAAAAACGTTTCTGTAGACCAACAACTGCACTGAGACTCCAAACATACTTATGTTTTAGGGCTCACTCTAACAGCCAATTATATAGGCGAGTCTTTGAACATCTCGAGGTCTTACTTTCCTTATCTGTAAACTGAAGGATCTGAGAAACACAATCTCCTAGTTCTAAAATTCATGGGTAAAAAAAGACATTAATGTTCTTTAAAAGCTTCTCTTTTCAGGTTACCCCTTTCTCTAAAGAGATGAGTAGTGTTCCCATCTGCTTTCACAGGACACACTAACCCCACTCTCTCACCAGTAGCAGAATGTTAAAAAAAATGCTGACAGTGACTTTGAGACCTGAGTTTGTATTTTCAACATAAAACTGTTCTCAATCAGTCCTTTTAATTGAAAGTAAATTGGCAGTAGAAATGTGATTACTACAGGGGAAATAGCAGGGTGGTTTTGTTGATAGGCTTTACCATCAATAGCCTTTCCTTAAAGGGTCCATTCAAAGGAAAGATGCCCTGTGGACAGAAAACCAGCAGAAATAAGACATTAGGTTCTATTGTTAAGTGGATCCCTTGCTGCCTCATTTACTCAAATAATAAAATGTAAAATTAGTTCAAATCCCTTTAAGAAAAAGTGCACTACCACATGAAACTCCATATTCTTCCCAAACAATGCCAAGTTATCTCACAAGGGTATCTTTTATTCTTATGTGAAATTAAGATGCATTAAGTACATGTGAGGTACAGTGCTAGCTTTTAGGGTTATATACATGAGAAAATCATATTACCTGTCCTTCAGAAATCCATTTATGAGCTATTAGAGAGACAGAAAAATAAAGGGAAAATGATATCTATTTAGCATTTGCAACATGTCAGGTACCACTGGTTCAGGCACATATATTATTTTAGCTTCACTGCTATAACCCAATGGGGTAGGTATACGTAGTCTTTTTCTCAGTGAGGGATTTGAAACTCAAAGAGGTTAAGTAGCACGCCCAAATCATAGTCAGTGCAGCTGGGATTTGCACTCAGCTTTTCTGATTTAATAGATTTTATTCACTCAACGTAGTGCCACTCAGCCAAACAAATTAATTACAATACTTCATGATACCAAGTGCAATGAAGCCATGAAAGAGATGAACTTATATCTGCCTTGAGAAAGCAGAGAAAACTTGACATTGTAGGAAACATATGAACTGTGCCTCAAAGAATGAAGATTTTTGCCTGGAGGAAAAGGACATCCAAAGCAACATGAACGGTATCATCTATTCAGTTTCCAACTATGTCAAAAGTTCTAACTATGTGACAGAAAGGACAAAAATGCTTTAAGCTTTACAAGCCTGTATTCCCTTTTAAGAATAATGCTTGTCAAGAGTAAATGGATATGTATTTAAGAAATACATATTTATACAATCAACACCCATTTTGAAAAGCAGACCATAAAACCTACTTTACAAAATGTTTCTATTCATTCAATAAATACTTATTTTGTTCAAGTATTTATCCACAGTTTAATAAAATCTTGCATTTGTGTAAGGGTTTGTCATTTCAAAATACTTCTTTATTATAGCTAGAATCTGAAATATCATTTCAGCTATCATCACTCCTTCAACCTCTAGGTTTTCACCAAATCAGTAACAAGTGACAAGTTATTAGAGAATGACATATACTAGAAGAAAGAGCAGGTTATTGAAATTAGAAGTCAGTAAGAATTGGCTTTTGATCTATTTTACACTACATTCTAGTAAAAATATCCCAGGCTTTCTATGCAGCATTTTTGAAATCACAAATATAAAACTCTGAAACAAACTAAATGTTTTCTCACATGAGATGGTAGAGAGGATGAAATGGGTTGGCAACAATGGGTTGTGCAATGTAAATATTCTCTTAGCATTCACAAAATAGCATGGATTTCTAAATTTGCCAATTAATGTGTTTAGTGTTGAAAATTGGTACTACCTCTTCTTGGTCCAGATCTCTAAATAAAGCCAGCTAGCATGCATATACCTGGGAATCTTAACTTTATAACATTTTTTACTGACCTATGAAGAAACTTTTCACTCACCATATGATAATTTCATTTTGTAATTTGCATAGTGGTTCATATAACACATTCTCGTTTAATAGCACACAGCTTGTTTTATGACATTATAAAGAGATATATATATTAAATAAGACACCTATCATGCATCTGAACTTTGTAACATATATGTGATTAAAATCTTCTTTTTAGTTAAAAAATAGAATGTGCTTTTCATTCTCTATCATATTTGTATCATTTTCATCTGGTATACAGTGATACATGTTCATGGAGTTGGTAACTCAATACCAAAAAAAGGAAAAATACAGGAAGTAACAGAAAGCATATCACACAAAGAAGCAATTATGCACTGTACAAATTATATATGTCATTTACCTACCTTCAAAAGGGTCATTACAATGTAGGAGAAAGAAGCAGTGAAACCTGGGGAGCATAAAGAGAATGGGGTTCAGAGGCAAATGCCTAGATTCAACTCTGGGCTCTACCATTTACTACTATTAACATAAAGCCAAGTTGGAGAATTTTCAACTCCTGGGGAGCAGATAACACGGTAAAATTTCAATTCCTCATGAAGCCTTTTCTGATCCTATATCCTTTTCTATTATGTGCTTTACCATACCACTATGCTCACATAGAACTGTACTTATATTTTCATTTTAATATTCACCCATTTATCTTTTATATCCCTTGTATGCCAAGTTCATAAACCAGACTCTAAGATTTTTGAGGGCATGGAATATTTATTTTTCTATTACAAGTACATAGCATAGTTTTAGATACATTGCATAATGAAATTCAAGGGTTCATTGAGTCAATGAAAATTGAAGCAAAGTATTATTTTAAATTTATCATTATAAAAACTTCTGTTCATGTCTTTTGCCCACTTTTTAATGAGGCTGTTTGGTTTTTTCTTGCTGGTTTGCTTTTCAAAAGAAAATAGACAAATGGCCAACAAATATATGAAAAAATGCTCAACATCACTAATCATCAGGGAAATGCAAATTAAAAGTACAATGAGATACCGTCTTACACCTATTAGAATGGTTTTTAATAAAATGTCTGAAAACAATAGATGCTGGTGTGGATGTGGAGAGAAAGGAATGCTTATGAACTTCTGGTGGGACTGAAAATTAGTACAAACCCTATGGAAAACAGTATAGAAATTTCTCAAAGAACTAAAAGTAGACCTACCTTCAATCCAGCAATCCGACTACTGGGTATCTATCTGAAGGAAAATAAATCATTTTATCAAAAAGACACCTCCACTTCAATGTTTATTGCAGTAAAATTCACAATTGTGAAGATGTGGAATCAACCCAAGTGCCCATCCATTCATGAGTGGATTAACAAAATATGGTATATATATACCATGAAGTACTACTCAGCCACAAAAAAAGGATGAATTAATGCCTTTTGCAACAACTTGAAAGGAATTAGAGACCATTATCCTAAGCAAGGTATCTCAAGAATGGAAAAACAAATACCACATGCACTCTCTAATACATTGGAACTAACTGATAGGCACACAAGTGCACAGAGGGAAGTATAAATCATTGGAAATCAAGCAGGGGGGAGGGTCAAAGAGAAGGACAAAAACTCACCTAACAGGTACAATGAACACTATTCCAGTGACGGGCACATTTATAGCCCCAACTCAAGCCATGTAACAAAAACATTTGTACCCTCTTAATATTTTGAAATAAAAAATAAATAAGTAAAATTATCATTAAAATAAACTTCTTAGCAGGAATCTTTGTATTTAATAAAAGTGATTTTCAAAATTATCTAATGAGCCCTAGATTATTCACCCAGATGCAGGGTCTCAATATCTTTAATT